AGATAGATAGATAGATAGATAGATAGATAGATAGATAGATAGATAGAGAGCAGCGACACTCTTGCAGCAAACGGTGTCAGGAACAGACAAGAAAATGACACACCAAACCAAATAAATGTTTCAGAAGAGAACTTAATGGGAGTCAAATCAAAGTAAGCCTGCCTGTTAAATCTCAAATAGAAATAGGAATATTGCAGAAAACCAGAGAACACCTTCCAACAAGGATCCTTCAGAACCACTTAGAATGATGAGGTGGTTGTCCGACTTCAGGCTTTTGTCACGTAGCGCATTGTCTTGATGTTTTTTGGTAGTTGATTTTGAATCTGATATTTTCTCTTTTTCTGTTTTTAAGCCGTTGCAGAAGTTAGCTTGTGTTTGTGTGATGGTGATGAGGCCTTGGGCATTTCTCTGCACAGCAAAATAATTTAGTTTGAATGAGCATGATTGTATGTCTCCTGCATCGCTGTGTTGGCTCAGTGTGATAGAATGTTGAACCTTCCCATGATGTTGTTTGCCTCTCACCTATTCTCTTTTGTTATAGCCCTCTCCGCCTTTATCTTCTTCAAGCAACTGTCCAGTGTACAATCAACAAGACAGTAGCGTAACTTATTTTAGAGCAATCAGTCGGACACATAAAGGTATCCTAACTGACGCAGTCAAATTGTGCACCCGCCACGTACAACAACAACACAAGCCTCAGAGTAAATTGCTCTGCCTTTGAGCATACATTCTTATCAAAAGCTCGAGTGTGCAGCTGTCTTATCTATGGAGGTAAGGCGTCCAAGCTAGTTGGTGAATTATCTTGTCAGGAGCTAATTTGATTCTTCCTGGGTAATTATTGGGAAATGATAGCTGTTTTTAGGGAGGCTTTTTTCTCTGCCAATCTCCCTCCTGTAGAAGGTGCATCAAAAAGAGCTGTCAGGAAAAGAATGTTGTAGGAGTGTGAATAACTTCATTTTATAGCTCACTAACCCACCTCAATGGTTTTCATTTCAGGGAGACCACCAAACGAAGAATGTAGTTCTGTAGGAGTTAACATGACTAGAATTTATTACAGTTGCAAGGAACATTGTAAAAGACTTTGGCATTAATAAACTAATACAAAAAAAAGGTTATCTGAATATATATTATTTGAACTCAGAAAAAATGTATTTAATTCTGTTACAGCTAGGTGGTAAAAGAATTGCCTACGACTTGCTCAGATATTCTTTTCCAAGTTTCTAGTATGAGAAGAATGTTCAACGTTCACATGTGAATTTTGTCAGAGTCTTTGTTGGGTATAACTAAAAACATAATTAACTCATAGTCATTTATCTGCAAAGTTTGGCTTACTACACTCATAATTTTAAGCATTGTTCCCTCACCTTCTGTGTGGGGCTGTATGTGCAGACACATTATAAGTTTTGACTTAGGTGTAGGCTGAGAGGAAAAAAAAGGTTAAAAATTATAGCACATCCGCCTCACAGCATTCACTTTAAGGACATTTTACAAACAAAGCGGTTAGCGACTGTAATGGAGTCTGTGGATGGCAGATCAATAGTGTTGTTGTTCTGGTGGAAGGTCAGACCTAGTCAGACAAAGAGCTGCAGTGGAAAGGTTGAGTCAGGGTTTGAGGGAGAGCACCGATAAGCACAGAAACAGATATTATTTTATATGATGCATGGCATTACTGTATGCTGTTTACTTTTATTCAGTGCAAGATCTCTATGGTAAATGGGAACTGAAATACCGTCATAACTGGCTCTAAGCTTCGGATTGAGAAGGGTGCTGGGTTTGAGTTATTGACACTAATTGGGCGTGTGTTTTGTTTTGGGCACGCAGACAGAGTATTTCTCTCAGCTTTGACAAATATCTGCTGGAAAGTTCAGAGTTTAGGGGTCACACTGGTTCGTCCCATTACGATGCGAATCATCATGATGAATCTAAATTATTGAGCTAATTATCATTTAGCTGTTTAATGAGTATGAGAGCAAAAGAAAACTTCTACTTTCTGTTGTTTGCTAAAAAAAAAAGAAAAGAAGAAAAAAGAACACAGTAAATTGACTTTGGACAGCACTAAGCCGTATGAGTCTTCATGCTAGCTAAGTCTGAGATTTTATCTTATTTTCCACGACACCCTATTTCAATCACTTTGTCAAGGTTGTAGAGATAAAGCCATAAATGCTTCTAACCATTTTACTCTCAAGGGTATCCTATTATTATTATCATTTATTGTATGTCACACAAGGTTCCCGTCTTTTTTTTGCCCATTACAGGATTCTTTCAGTTCGTCTCTCATGGTCTTATTACACAGGGAGGGCTGCAGCCTTCTCTTGATTTGGCTGCTTTGCCTGCTACATTCATTTATTAAATCCTTTGTGTGAAGAAAGGCAAATAACAAGAATTTACCCTTCAACTTTATCAGTTGAATCTGCTTTGACTTCGTTTGGATTTATTTTTGCCCAATAGTTGTATTCTGATAAGCCTTAAAAAATTGTGCCGTTGAATGATACCTCTATTAGCTTTGAGAGCAATAGCCCTGCATGTTCTTCATCTACTTTTACTTCCTGACCTTTAAAAGCATTGTGTTGCTCTGTTTTTGTTTTACACTGTGTTTTATTTGTCATCTTGAAACCAGTGAAGTGCTTTGTTGCTTGAAGGAGAGAACCACGGTGAGATCAACAGAGATCAACAGTCAGCATCACAAGTTTTCATCATCAAACTGTGTTCAATGATGTGAAATACATTCTACCCAATCTGTTTACTGCTTACTGCTACAAAGTCACTTCAACTTTTATATGAAAATAAAAAGTGATTCAATAATTTTTAAAGAACACAAAGTTATGGAAAATTTGCAAGTGAACACAAATGTCATGACAAGACTCAAACCGAGATGGATGAACATGGATGATGGTGCTGGGGATTACCTCTACTCCTGCTGTTTTATGTAGACAATCACTAGTTTCTAATGGCATAAGAAACAGGAAAAATCAGCCTCAAATCAGTTCTTTCGGTCTATTTGTTTCATATATGGTCAGTATTTTCCCATTAGATTTTAGTTTGTTGTGGTTGTTTGCTTAAGACAGACCCTTTACTGCTGCCCTCTCTCAACAAAAGGAAGCTGCGGCTACAGTCTAATCCTCCTAGATTTCTATTATGATGCGCAAAGAAAGGAATTCTGCAATGGAGTCCTATATATGAGACACTTTAATCCACAGTCTCAAAGCTTTAAAGTAAAGTTGAAGGTCGGATCGCGTGGGGGCTGTACAGAAACTGACTTAAGTGTTTAGTTTTCTGCTCACAGCCCGTTTGAGATATAAACTTCACATGTCTGCAATCCCTGGATACCTCATCTTAAAAAAAACTGTATATATTTCTTAAAGGATTGGCCTTATATATCGCAGAGAGTGAGTGCAGTGACTTCAACCTCAGCACACTCGTGCCGATCCCACACTGTCACCTAATAATGACAATCAAGAATAAACATCATATAAATCCACAGGCCACCTTATTAGGTACACCTGTTCGGTTGCTATTTAACACAAATTTTTACACTGATTTTGACATTTTTAAGTTAAGAAATAAACTAAAGCAAACACCACAATTCAAGGCTTCAACTGAACCATGTTCAGAAAGTTGCGCATGGCATAGTGTACAAGAAGTCAGTTGCATTGCTCTTAACGTTGCTGCAATCATGGTCTTTCTACGTAAAAGGGGAAAAAAAGAAAGTTTGATTAATCATTCGTTGGGGGCTCGTGTTGTTTATCCTGAAAACAGTAGTTCTTATGAGAAAAATTTTAGTTTTTTTTATTCAGTTTGTTTCCAGTTTTTATATTGAAGTATTTCACCATGAAGCTGTGTCAGAGGATAAAATGTATGTTTTTCTCTCTGCTGTTTAGCAGTACCAGTACCAAATACAGGATCTGTGCACGTCGTACAAAGAAGAGAATGACAAAAAGAACTACAGCCTTAATTGGCTTGAGGAAGCGGGGCTGTTTACCCTGCAAAAAAGAAAATCCTATACAACCCCACACACAACATGTGATGTGAAAACAGGCCTTTTAAAGCGGGTTCATTACAGCATAATTGCATTATCGTGTATGCCTGTGTTTCTGATTTGATGACAAATGAAGATGAATCCACTTTCCTCACATGCCATGTATCATTCCTGCCCGAGGCTGAGATGACCATAACCTCCTGTCCTTGACATTTTAACACTAATTGACATTTTTTTGCCCTGCCATGCATGATGCGCTCTCCTCAGTCCAGTAAACTCATCCTGCTTTTCCTGAATTGCTTCAAATAGAGTAAATAGCAAAAAGTCATTCCTTTTATTTCTCTCTCCCTTTTTAAACTTGCACTGGCGTTTCTCTTCAGATCACCGAGAACATTATTTTCCTCTAACTCTCTGTTCTCTTCACTTTCTCCTATGCAGACCACCAAGGCGGTGAACAAAGGGGACTTCCCACTGGCCAACATCGCCTCCCGAAGGGCTTTGTTCCTCGCGGCCCTCTCCATCACTATAGGCACCGGTGTGTATGTAGGGGTGGTGGTAGCTCTCATTGCCTACCTCTCGAAACCAGGACACATATAGCACCCTCATTCCACACGCCTCTGGGGAGCCCGGGAAGAGAACAACTCCCTCTGGGAAGCGTCGTTGCACCTGCAGACTTCAAGAAAAGTTTTAGGAGGATATACAGTTTCTCCCTCCACCTTTCTTTGTTTCCCACTTCTTCTCCCAGCAGACCCTCTGTCAGCCAAAATTAGCCACAGTGACTGGAGAGGGGTCAAGCTGTAGGGTGAGTCAGCGGGGATCGAAGAAAAATCTCCTTTTTTTCTTTCTTTATTTTTGACACAGAGGATTTGAGTAATGGATGAATTTCAAGTTGGAGCCCAGTTTGCATTCCATTGACTCAAACCATGTGTGCTTCTTCATCTTTTGAGTGGTCTGTAGCCTCTGACGACCCTTCAGGAACTTTGAAGACAGTAAATCTGAGAGTAACGTACTAAACTCACATGACTATTGACAAATGAAAATCAACACAAAGTCACTCTTGCACATTAAAACCCAACCCTGCTACGTCTGGAGTCTTGCTACTTGTCACTGAAGCTTTCTGCCTGTATCAGCGTTCATTTGTCACGGACTGACTTCCTTGCTGTGACGGATTAAATAAAACAGGGGATTTACAACCACATCCACTGCTCATTCGATGTCAATGGAGAGTCTTTAAATCCAGAGAAACAGGGTTACAAAAAATACAAAAACTTTTGCTAGTGGAAAAAGAAAAGAACCCTCAAAGATAAGGAAAAAATAAATAAATAAATATGAACAAGAATTGAAGTTGTTTTATTCTCTTTCAAAATTGTTGCACTGGCATGAACTATAAGGATCTCAATGGATCCTTAGTCCTGTTTTGTTTTTTGTTTTGTTTTTTCAGAGAGAAAGTATCCATCAGAAATAAGACTCTGAATCTGTTCACGCAGATCTGGTTTTCCTACAAACACGTAAATGTTTGTTTTTCTTTTGTTTGTATGTTTTTTGTGTTGTCTATAGGAATATTTGCTAAACTTGCTCCAAGGAATGTAAAAATATCCCAGTTTTGTGATGGTGAAACAGTCAGAACTTATGGGAAAATTAATTTGCAGCCCTTTAATTTCACCCAGGGCCGCACAAATAACACTAATAAGTGTCATTGTCTAAAAAAAAATTTATTTAGCTTAATCATGTCTATGAGTGGGGCTTTACAGGTACTGTACAGTGAGGCATGATTAATTGCATTTAGAACTGAGTTTTTGAGTGATCATAAAACCAGTCAAAGGTAAAATGGCAGGGGCTCACATCTGCCACACTGTGGATTCCCACTTCTCATTTCAACTAAAAAAGTGTATGATTTTAACGGGAAAGATCTAAATGTATTCCCTCATGCTTTAATGACATCTTACACACATGGGACTTTAACGAATCTTACGAGAAGGGCTTGTAATTAAATCACTGGGCATTTTAGGCTACATTTGCTGTGTTGTAAACTACAAACCTGGAAGAAAGTTCATGTGATATAGGTTTGTGAGGCGAAATTCCACACTTTCCTCCACGGGTCCAGCATTCGTCATTCCTGACAGCTGTGGTGCAAAAGCGGCTCCCCTGCAGTGGCTTTTTCTGACGGGGATGTGTATTCTCTGGAGCAAATTCCTAAAATAGCTCTGTCACATTAATTTCACTAATAAGCCGCTTTTGGTGTCACTGGTTGCTGACAAACGCTGCAAGTAAACTCATCATTTTCACATCCCCAGCTGCGTGCACCTCGGCACTGGTGTGCTGATGGAGAACACATTCCTAATAGGAAGTTTCTAACTCGCTTTGCTTAAACAAAAGTGCAGCTGAGACTGCAAGCTTTACTTTGAATGTTATTTTTGGGCTTCTGTGTGACTAACCACGCATTCGCCGTAGGATTAAAGCCAGAAAGTCCAGTTTGAGCAGAGTGAAGGCTGATTCCAGGCATCTGAAGAGCTGATTCTGTTCTCTTTATCCAAGCTCATAGAATATGACCCCATTCTACCACTTGTATCAGCAGCAAGTCATGATCTACCGGTTCCAATGAATGCACACGTCATGGCCATCGCTGTAAGTATAGTGACAGACTCTTTAATGCAGAAAAAATTATGAACATGCATTGTGTAATGTGACGTGTCATTCAAATGATGTGTTTTTAACCTGGCCTCTTTGGCAAACCTGGTATTGTGCAGTGTGTTACAACAGTATGTGAATTTTGATGCTGCTGTTATCTTCTCCTCATTGTGATGAGCTACACATCCGAGCAACAAAGACATTTGCTTCGGGTAAATCTCAGTGCCAGGGTGATAGCGATCTCTTTGTATTGCTTGTGTGCTGGATTAGAGAAGGCAACTTTTTTTTTCTTTTTTTTTTCCTTCCTCATGTTTGTGTTTGGGAATCTTTTTTCCTATATTGTGTGAAGGCGACATGTACATAGTGCATATACGGACATCAAATGTAATGACAAATAAACCTGAAAGGAAGGCTGACCCTTTTCACAGACTGTTCTTCCCCTCTGGGTGTTATAAACCTTAAATGTATGTAGTCATCTGAAGCCCCTACACAACCTCAGAGAATTGGCTGAGGAATCTAGATGTTTCTCTTAAAGCAATAGCAACCTACGCTGAGTCATGGCGTGTAGGTGGTTATTGCCAGATAGAAACATAAACTTTTAGCCGCACCATTCTCTCTGCTTCACACAGAAAGCAAAGAGTACACAGTCATTCGTGCCCTTACCGTCATTCCTTCAGAATAAAAATGCGGAAAAACTCTCAGCTTGACCTCAACACAGAGCACGATCCATGTTAGATGTGCTTCACTTATTGATAAATGTTTTGATGTCTTTGTTTTAATAATTAACACATCCTCAACAAGTCATTTCCAAAGGGTCATCTTTACTAATGTGTGTCACGTGCACGCCTCTTAAATGATAGATTCTTGCTCTTAAACTGTGGTGATAACACTCTTATCAGTGCCTCCTCTGTTGAGCCTGAAAGAGGCAATGGCTCTGATGACTGAAGAAAACTTCAAAATATTCACGTTTCAGCCTCCAGTTTCCATTAAAACTCCCATCCATTCACTTTGTAGGGGTGTTTCAATACTTTTTATTGTTCTGTGTGTGTCTTTGTAGAAAATTTCTAAAATGCATTCGTAGTTTCAGTGTTGAATTGTGTCCACTAGCAACAGTTTGAAAGAATGTGTCCATGCACTGACTTGTGACTGTATTTGTCTGAGGACATGAACATCAAGACAATTTTCTACTTATTTTTAGCCTTGGCCCTGACAAGATTTGTCTTATCATTATTTTAACACTGTTCACCACTCTCTTACAAAGTGGTGAACATTTCCATTTATTTCTTATAAAGCAATACTCATGTTAATGACTTGTTATTCTAAAAGTGTGCTATGTTCATGAAAAGATTATTTTCAACCCTAATACAACTTTTATGTGATTGTCAAGTAAATTTAACCATTTAATTGAAAAGTGTACCTTTCTAAAGTAGTATTTTTAGCTTTATTAGTTTTTTTTAGTTGTTTTTGTGAATATTTGATAAAATATCTTTTGTGATTTAAAACCAATTAGCTAACTTAACTAACTTCTTATTGAATCAAACTATTCACTCTGTTACAAAACAAAGATATTTAAACTGTTGATTTCATATTGTTGATCATATTTTAGTCATAAGTAAGTGTTTACAGTGTTTATCTGCCATAGCATCTCTGTACATATATACAGTATCTGCAAATAGCTGACTGACAGGGAAGTTGAACGGAATCTGGAATTCAGCGTGTAAAGAATAGAAGGGGCCACATCGGTGGTCTTGCAGATAATCTTTCCCTCATTTTAGCTGCAGTTTATGTGCAGAGAGTTGAAGGCTATTTCCATTTTTTCCATAATTTCAGAGAAAAATAGCACACAGTCCTCATTGCAAATATCCTTATAAATGAACAACCACTCTTCTTTATCCTCTTTATGTACCATAAATAAATCATTTTCATTAGAATTAGATTTCTTATCAATTGCATTGTCCAGATGCATTAAGGTGCTCACCCTTAATTACACTTGTTGTTAGAGCATGAATAAGGGGCTTCCTCAGATAATCAATGGAAAGTTATTGGGGTTTTGCCACATTTATTTAGAGGAAAGACTCCACTTAACACCTCTTAACAACTGCGTCAATGAGCGGGCCATTATCTGGTCCTAGACTCTGCTCTCAGACTCTTTACAGAGCCCTCAGCATATTTAAGGACAAGTCCTGAGAGTTTCAACGACGGTCATGTATAAAATTCAAAATCCGAAAAGCAAATGAATCCCAGACCAACAGCTGTGAAAAGAACATAATTCTGTGCGGCAGCTAAATTCCTGTATCCCTTTATAAATGTCTCTGCTGTGCCAGAGTACATGTGACTGCAGCACCAGCTGGGTGAGAGGTTTTATTACAGGAGAGGAAGGAGAGTCACGAGTCGACGTGTTATTTCCACCGAACAGGCTGCAGCACAACAGGAGAAGAATCTCGCGTAGTCATAGGAAGCGAATGTTCCTCATAAACAATGGAAAAATATTAACTGCTTAACACTCTACTTTTTTCTCTAGAATATCATAAAGGAACGTGTCCAACAGCAAACATGGAAGCAGGTTGAATTAATAGGTACACATTGATCAAATGAAAGTGTCTGAGTTTTGCAGATTTGGATAAGCATGTCTGCAAAAAGCAAACAATGACAGTTTTATTTTTTTCCCCCTCGTAATTATAACCTGTACATGACTTTGGGAGTCAGAGGCACATTAAAGAAAGGATTTCTTGTCATAATGATCCAAACAGTATCTTCACCTCATCCCTATTTGCTATCACCCCCCATCCCCCCCGCTGTATGTATCCCCCAGGTTTCCATTTTGTCCTTGTCAGACTCTCTCTGTAGGTTGTTGTAGCTCTTCAGTGCCATCCATCCCTCTGTATTGTTTCAATTGTCAGTCATTTTGTCCCTCGTAATGTATGTGTTAGTTTGGTTATCAGGTTTTCCCTCCTGCCTTTGCAGCAGCT